GCGTTGGTATCAAGGGTGAGATTGTGGAGGCTTTGTTGATGGGGGATGTTCATGGCTCGGACACCCGGGTCATTTGCTAGAGACGTGACACGATATATGATTTATGCCCAGACGGAGACTGAGTCCCCTGCAAACTGCCTGTAATTTGGTACCTTATCTGTCTGTCTCTGAGATTTGTGCATTTCCTGCCCTTCTTGTCTTGTCTTCACATTTTCTCAATCCCCTTTTTGAACAGACGATATACGGCCAACAGCTGTAAGTTTCTCTCTTCGAAGAGAATAAAAACACATTGTAGTTTTATATGTAACGAGCCAAGTTGTATGTTTGTATGCAAATATTACAACTACGCAAGGTACCTATTCTATCTCTAGAGCACAAAATCAACATCAAAGCTATGGTGAAGTAATAGATAGCCCGACAATAGAATCACCCTTTCGAATACTTCCATCCCTTCTTCTTCTCAGACCGGAAAGCAAGCAGCGTTCCTTCTCTCCCCTGCTTTCTCGCAATCTCCACAACCAAGAACCGCACAAAATCACCCAGTGTCCAGTAACTGCTATGCGCGCTCAGCATGTTGAGGTACTGGATATTCAACGGGCCGCCACCACCAGAAAGATAATAATCAATTTGACCGTTGTCATTGAGTAGAAGCATGCGCTTTTCAGCGATCTCTTCGCGGGTGAAGTCGTGAGTCTCGAGCTCGACATTGGATGGGAGCTTGGAGACTGCTGCGGGGCGGGTAGGGGCTGTGGAGGACAATAATGTTGACGGGGTTGAGCTCCAGCGGAAGACGCTTCCGAAGGATTGCCAGAAAGTGGAGGTGGAGCTGGGGATAGAGCCCATTTTGAGAGAATTAGAGAGGTCTGAGTCTACTGTTGCATTTACTCGGTACGCAATCGCTGGAATCGGTTGTTAATATAAAAGACAAAGAGGATGCGGAAGATCGGTTGGGAAGCTTAGGCAATTCACTTACGGTCAGTTGTGTGCATGATATTGTAGAGATTGTCTACGGCGAGGCAGCCATATTGACCCGCTTCACCGGCAACGCCACGAAGTAAATCGTCGCCTTCGCTGCCTGGCTTTTCTCTGCCTTTTCGAGGAAGAAGACTAGCTGGGAGGATGTTAGATACAAGATAGAATAATGTAACAGTCAAACATACCCTTGTTGAGAAGTAGGAAGAAGCCAACTGGACTTCCGCAGAGGAAGAGATGTCTAGTATCAAACTCGAAAATGTCGCTGTGTAAAGCCGTATTGGAAAAGTCAAACCGAGGAACATGTGTTGGTTGATTGCTGAGAATATCCACAGCCATCACGCTTCCGAGTGAATGAGCGATGAGATGTACACGGCCGTGGTCTTGGAACCCTGGGTTGTTTTTGCACCAGAGGCGATATACACGGTTCGCTTCTCTAATGACCGCCTTGACCATCTTCGGTTTGTGGTGGGACAGATAGTAAGGGATGTCAAGCATCACATCACTAATCAGGGATCGGATAGCGGGAAGAGTCTGGGGCGTGATATCTGCAAGAGAAAAGTTGTTGCTAGCTGGGTCTTCGATGCCAGACTCAACATCGGGGTCATCCAATGACAAGTTAGTGCGCCAATTCACAGGAAGAACCATGATTCCCCCATGATCCTGGCGCACATGCGGCCAGACAGGTTCGTTATTGAGCTCCATGTTCACCTCTCGCCGAAACGCATTGATGGCATGAGTGAAGTGGAAGCTTTCCATCCTCTCCGATAACTTTTGCCCGATGCCGTGGATAACAAGAACCAAGTCGGTTGGAGGTGGTCGCGACTCTTCCATCTTGCATGCATAGCAGATTTGTTCACCCCGCGCAGAAGGACTTTTCAACTGAGTCTTGCGGATATAATGGCGCACATCGATGGGATTGGGCTTTGATGGGTGCAGTTGTTCCCATAATTTTCGACTAAAGCCGCGAATCACTGGTATGCCTATCTGACGGCCTTTCCTTATTGCACCAAGGGGACGTCGTCCTCTCGACACCGAGGGAAGTAAGCTGGGGCGAAGGACTTGGGCATTTGTTGCATCGACATAGATGGCACTAGATGTGAGGTACGCCTTGATACTCTCAGATTGAACAGAGGTGCCGCCTGCAGCTCGATTTTCGTCAAATGTTAAGGGATCCTCTGCCTCATCCACAGGCAAATCACTACCATGTGGCGCTTGTGCAGTTGTAGGCCGACTGTATTGTTTGGTCCACAGAGGATGAACAACTTTCAACTCGGCATCGGCCCCGTTTTCCACGCAACTATTCAGTTCATCTTGCCAAGTGTCACTCCATGGCTTCAAGTAAACGTAGCCTTCCTCCAATTTGTTCGCAAGTTCAGTCTCAACAGGCAACATGGTATTCTTGTAGAACCAAGTAGCCCGGACCACACTTGATATGTCCTGGAGGGGGCTCCAGTAGATAGGTTTCATCTATAAAAAGGTGTTATTACAATTCAGAGCCGAGCATAGAAAGTGTACTCACCTTGAGATTTGGTAACTCGACCAGATGAAGTCGTGAGACACCGACTGGAATCTTTGACTGTGTGTTTGGCTCCTCTGTCCTCTCCCTCTGAGAGTCCTGGGTCAATTGATCTAGGCTCACAGTCGTTCTGAGGCCCGAAGGTTTCGGGGCACTTCGAGAAGTAGTACTGGTTCGGAGTTCCGCCTGCCATTCGCCTCCTTCTCTCGACGAAGACGACTCAAGTGAGCGACCAAGTGGCGTTTGGGGCTGAGATATCGGCGCCCGTATAAAAGGAGAGCCACTCATGCTTGCATCGTGAGAACGATCGGCTCGTAAACTTCCACTATCTTCGTCGCCTTCTTCCACATTCCCGGCCTCCAGCGGAGAATTGCTTCTCCTTTTAGTTGCACTGGACTCATTGATCGAAGACGAGCGCGCTCTTTTCCGATCGATGGCAATTTCTCTCGGAGTGTCGTTTTTGAACCTATCACCCACTGGAGAGTCCAAGCGATTTTCCTTCCCGAGTTCTCGGGTTCGTATTCCAACACTGCCGGTAGCAAAAGTGAGGTGACTCTTGTGACTGCGAGAGGGTAGGTCATCCGGGAACAATGGAGGGTTGCTCAGAGTGCTTCCTCTACTGCCAACTAATGAGGGATCCTCTTGGTTGGCTGCCTTGGGGCTTTCGACATTTGAAACCGATTCATGACCAGGCACAGCTATCCCAGGGGGCCCTGTCGATGTATTTGGCCTGGATTTGTGGTTCCCAGCGAATTTGGCCTTTCTCGCTTCCCGTAGATCATGCCAAGCTTCCTCTAAGGCGATGTTATCCCTGGCCGAGAATGGCGTGGGAGGAAGTCTCTCATTGCCGGTACCCTGGCTTGCAGGTGGAGGCAGAGGAGCCAGTGGATCATCGATCGGCAATGATGAGATATAGAAGAACTGTGACCGGATCTCTGGTGGTGATGGAAGCAATTGAAATCTAGTGAGGTCCTGCTCTTCATCCACAAGAAGGCAACTCGGACCGTAGGTGTGGATCGGGCCCGCCATTCGGATATTTGTACGGAGTACGGAGTCGGCCCCCTGTGTTTGAGCTGGTATTGATCTCCACTCCCTAATATGGAGGCTAAAAGCGGGATGTATCGACGGTCATTGGGGGCCGAACTGTTACAGTCCACAGCAATTTCTGTCGGAAACACCCGCACACAGGTTATGATAATTTACAAGAGGTGGTTCAAGAACTTCGTGAAAGGCAGAGCGGTGACTGCCTGGCACCCGTGATCCTAAAAGCCGATGACGTCGCCCCACGTGTTTCGTGTACAACTTCACTTTTCGGCTTTTTCCCTTTTGACATACTTATCTTGTACTCAGTACTCAGTACTCCATACGTAACATGTCCATGCATGTTAAATTAAGATCGTCAATTAGTTCAATCACCGATGATTGATAAACGCCAAGTTATGTGGCCTGGAATATCGGAATACTACTTGGTAATTTGATGGTTGCATTCAGTCTAATACATCCATGGATGTATTGACTCGTGTTAGATGACTCTTAAAATACCTAGGTAAGTCTCAAATTTACCATGTCCATTGATCATTATGATGATGAAAAGTGATCGACTTATGATCATGACTTTTGCCTTGAGGGAAGGGGAACAAAGAACTACATAAGTGGAGATCATGTACTCCGTAGATTCCCATCGAAAAGCTCCTTTTCCTTCAAATATCACCAAGTTGCCGATTTAGTCAAACTGCTCTACTTTGCCAACGGAGGAAATTGTCAGTCATACCCATGTCTTGAGGGATACAGCTAACGCCTTTGGGGGGGGATCATTAAATCTTGAAGCCCTTTCAGAATGTCTACATATACGTGCAGTGTCCACGATGAAGACTTTGGGAGTATGGAAGGTGCGATTGAGCACATACGTAGTCGTCATGTTACATTTATCAAGCGACCTGGACGCGTAGGATGTTCAGATAGTCATGGACATATCTGGTATTGCTTTGATTCAGCCGGCGCTATGTGGAGCCATCTCAAAAGTTGCCACGTCGATTTATTGAGTTTTTATGATGTTAGCTAAAAGAAAATTTGGTGTTCATTGGAGGAGGCAATTCAACCTGCCACTATACGGCAGATTCTCACGTGGTATCTTACCATCCCATAGTCTTTGACCAGAGCACAATGGCTAGTGATTATTTCTTCTCCTTTGGTTATTTTTAAGGCTACAAATGCATTGAAAGCCCTTTACTCTGAGATTAATTAAAATGGTTTTGTAAAAGAGAGCGAGAATGCGAATTATGTGCATTTTGGTGATCGGGGTTCATGTTACTAAATGCACTAAGTCAAGTATGCTTCCTATCGAGCCCCATCTGTGAATTCAAAGAGATTTGCTGTCGCCAGGTACCAGATCCATGTCGATTGACAGGGTATTCATCAGGTATAGCCTTGCAGATGTCTCCCCCGCGAACATATATTTAATATTGATCAGATGTACGTATTCCACATATACCCCGAGGTTGATGAGACTTCATTTAGCCGAGTCCGCCTCATTCAAGCCGTCGTGCTCTTTGGGACCAGAAGATCCAATCTCATACACCTCGTTATTTGGGGGTACAGTTTGTCTGCCCGATGATCCAATTTCATACAGCCCACCGGGCTTCGTCGGTGCTGGAGCGTATGGGGCTTCATAAATTTCCTCCTTTCTGTCCCCGAAGTACGCTGCGATTTTCTTGCGCAGGAAGAAAGCTGCGAGCAGAGCGACCGCTGCAATGCCTCCGATCACAATACCCGCGATCGCACCACCAGAAAGCGAAGAACTGCCAGAGGCAGTGCTTGGTGCTCTCGCTGGTGGGTCAATTGATGGTGTACTCTTGCTGATAGAAGTAGTAGTAGCCTCTATATGGAGGTTAGACAAATCTTAAGACGAATCGTCTTGGTTTAGACAATCATTGTGAGAAACCTACCCGATGAAGTGACAGTAGCTGAAAATATTAGAATGTATTCGATATACCAATGAGCTATTCAGGACTCACCAGTGGTTGATGTAGGAAGTACTCGATATATGGTGTCATAGAACCAGTATTCGCCGCACATGTATCTTGAGGCTATAGGTGTTCCAAGTGGTGATGTCTCGGCAATAGTCATAGTGATACAAGAGGCAGTAGAGATGCTAGTTTGAGGTTAGAAATTGTTTGACAAAACGATCTAAGGCACATACCATGTATTATCTCCACCATTGTCGTATTGGAGAACATTGCTTTCACAGGCTGTAGCAAGAGCAGTGGAAGATGCAGGCAAACAGTCGGCAAATGTGCCAGAGATGGAAAATGTTTGACTGGGCGAGCAATTAATTGGCGATGCTTGAACTTGAAGTTAATACGGTCGTCCAAACTAGCAGGAGGTTAGCGAACCTTTTCCATTCCCGACTGGGTACCATCCTTGGAATTCTGGATTTTGTGTAGCTGTCGTTGCCTTGGAATCACTAAGATTTATCTGGCTGCTAGCCATCTTTCACATGCGAGTCCGATCAGAGATTCCTTTTCTAGAAAATAAAACACACCCAAAGCAAAGACAGTCTGGGAAACTTCATGCGCGTGAATGTACGGAATTGAGAGATAGGCAGAAAAAAGGGATTCAGGTACCAAATGCTTGAGTGGAAATCATTTTTAATTCAACTAGGACCCCGTAATTTGTGTAATGATAATACATGGAACTAGTAAACAGTCTAGCAGCTAGCAGTAAATTCAAAACGGAACAGAGCGAGCTAACCACTACAATATACACGATTGGTCATTTGAAGTGGAGATTAGGAGGGTGGGAACATGATCGAGATGTGCATTATTATTGGGTTTGAATTCTCTTGTGGGCAACGCACAGGCAATATGCATACTGCACTGCCATTCCAGAAATAACAATGTTTTCAAATTCCTTAATGCCCAGTACGAAGTACGGTACGGCTCCGGGCCCATCTCCGTCCCACCAACCTTAATACGGGTCCACGGGTGGCGTCCACAAGTGGACGCCTGCTTATGTAAATGTGACTACGTGCTCGATTACCTTCCAAGGTTGCCATCTACATACACTTGTACCTAACCAATTTCAGAGTCTATAACATAGTGTGTTACAGGTTTCTAGACATAGAAATAAACATAGCCCCCTTTATCTTATTGTGTGGCAGCTTCAAAGAGTGGTCTGATGCGATTGATTCGGCACGTTACCATCACCTAGCCATCTATAGAACCGTATAACAATCTTCAAGGAATCAGTTCTATTTGGAGGCCGTGTTACCCGCTAGCTGTCTGTTTGTTTTGGATATCTACATATGGACTGAGGCTATAGATCGTGGATGCCTGATCAATCCGAGTACGCAATCAGTGAGCGCAACCATAAAAAGCGGCGGTAGCTAAAAAAAGTCCAGACTTAACCGGCAGAGGAAATATAGTGTGTAGAGTAACATAGTGTATCCCTGGGTATGTACATAACACGATATAAAATAAAGGATATTGTGGTTTTGGTTTCAAATTGACTCAACACTAGCCCAGGACTGGTCAGGTTATAGTATGGTTCTCTTTCGGGAAGGACAGTTTTCTCTCTTACAAAAGTAAGGATGTTTGAATTCTCTTTGGACCTTTGTAACCTACGGTAATAATAGGACCCAACATTAATACTCCTGACCCTCTCCACTACTAGATCTTGCATATATGATAAGCTGTGTTGAATATGCATGTTCTATTTACACATGAGGTTGATAAATTACCGCAAGATGACATTACATGACTCATGCAATTTTGCGTAGAGAAGTACATAGAAATGTAAATTGATGCTTACTTTCAGTTGATCTACTAAGGAATGTAAAGGATTCATTTGGGATGGGTTGTTTTTGGATTACGCCAGACTAAACTAGTTAATCCACTCATCACTAGTAAAGCGCGCATAAAAAGAGAGAAACAGAATAGCAAAAGCGAAAACGAAAACGAAAAATAGCAGAAAACGAAAATAGCAGAAAACGAAAATAGCAGAAAACGAAACTGGCAAGATGCGAAACTAATAACGGCGATGTCCTAGAACAGAACAGCCGAGACAGAATGGCAAAAAGCGAAAACGAAAGTGAAACAGGAATTGTTAAAAAGAAGAATCAAACACAGGTCAGCTTCAAATGAGCAAAGTAGAAATTAAGAGCGAGAGTTTCCAGAGTTCTGAGTGTCTCGGTAGTGCTGCATCACTTCATGCTTCTTCAACTCTCCACGAACGTGCGCATTGAGGGCCATAATCAGCTCAATGTGGCATTCATCGGCATTCAAAAGCTCCAAGAGATCCAGGATATCGTGGATGTGCTTCTTGATAACCGAGTCGGGGGTCACAAAGGTGCGGATGTTCATGTTCTTGTAGATCTTCTTCCAGTTGCTCAGAATGGTGTGTGGGCCAAGGCCATTGCTGGTTTTGCCGAATCTGACATGATTGCGGTTTGAACTGATAATCCGATACTGGGTTTTCTGGTCGAAACGGAATTGAGGGACACCAGGCATGTGCTTCTTCTCCCATCTTCTTTTCACCTTGTGGAGAGAACTAGTGCTGAGGTGGCCTTCGTAATACTCCTTCATCAGGAATTCGTTGGCCGCGTGGGTAATCATGTTCTCAATCTCGGCGTACAGAATTGACTGCACATCGGTGTTCAGAGTAATAGGGGCAGTGTTCTCAGTGACGATGCTGGGCTTGGATGAGCCGATCAAAGCTCGATTCTCATCCCAAAACTGCCAAAATAATTGTTAGTCACTGTAAAATTTCTCAAAAGCTAAGTCAAGAAGCACTTACTATTCCCTTGATACTGCCAATGGTTGAATGTCCCTTTTCGATGGCTTCCTTCAGGAAGCGGAATCTCTTGTCGCGTGGCTCTTCATTGTCTTCAAGGTATCCTTTCTTACCAAAGAGGTTCTTGGTAAATCGCTTGCGCTTGATTCCACGAGAGTCCTCGGAGCCCTCAGAGCTGCAGACATCAGGACTTTTGCTGATACGACTCGGCGTTGCGTTGATGGGAGTGTTGTTGTTGACGTTGGGCTCATTGCCGACGAAGGAAGCTGCGCGGCTATGTCCACCATTGGAAGACTCGGACACGTGAATGGCTGTCTGATGCTGGGAAACGTCGTGGATGGGGACATCCATGGTGAAGGCGGTTTTGTTCTTAGTCACGTTCAATTTTTGTGGAACAAGAGCCTGCTCGACATTTTCCATGTTGGCTCTCTCCTCTCTCAACGGGCTTGAGTAGCTAGTAGGAGATGAAACGTAATCAGGGCGGAAAGTAATTTGCGTAAGCCGGGGATCGTGGGGGATATAAGATGGATAAATTCCAACTCGAGGCGCATCAGCATAGGAGAACTCACGAGGAGCAGGGCGACGCTCAGGAGAAGGAGGAGCTGGAGCAGGAGATAGAGGTGAATCCAGTAGAGGCGAATCAGGGGTAGTGTAGTCCCGAGCAAACATATGTTCAAGGGGTACAACAAAGTCAGTGTCCATCCCGTTGGGGTTGTCCGAACGCCAGGTGAAAACTCTTTGGAGAGAAATGACCTGAGGAGGAGACGAAGGCAACACAGGTGATTCTTGCATAGGTACATCAGAACCAGACCGTCCCCGTTCAAATCGGGGCTCAGGTGGTGGAGTAGTTTCAGGTTCAGATTCGTCTGAAGACCAATAGCAATATCCGTTAGGATAAGGGGATGAGATAGGAGATGCTGTATCTTCGTGAATGGGGCCAGGGCTCACAAATAACGAACTCTCAGCATCAGGAGCAGAGCGTTGGTCGGGAGTGAAACGGTAAGCAGAAAGTGGAACAGGAGTTGGGGACCACACAGGCGTTGCAGGTGTAACTTGACGAATGGTTCTAGAGCCCACAAGTAAAGAACTTTCAGCATTAATAATGAGGGAATCAGGGGCCTGGGTACCAGGACCAGAGCGCTGGTCCGCATGGTAGATATCCACAGATGCCGGATTTGGGGGAACGAAATGGTAAGCAGAATATGAACTTGCTGGGTTGTGATTCTCATTCGCAAGGTGCTCGTTTTCCTTTTCCTGGTTCATCAAGGCAAGCATTTCATCAATGTTTACCCCCACTTCGGTGAATTGATATTCTTGCTTGATTTCGGGGTCTGGGGTAGCGTTGGGAGCTACTGCAGCCTGAATATCCGGAGAATATTCGTGGCCAATGGGTGCAGCTTCGTACCAAGAAGTTGGACCGTGGCCGTTGCGATGAAAACTGGGATTGACTTGAGCATAGGGGGCCTCAAACGCAGGAGCAGCATGATCCAAGCGATGGGAACCAGAGGAGTCATTGGTGTAGGAGGCTTGCGCATTGTAGTAGTGATGCGAAAAGGATGGCATGGCCGGCTCAAATGCTCTGGGTTGAATGGAAGGAGTCTCATCATCGTATCCTTGCAGCTTGCATTCCCTGAGAAGCATATTCGGTTTCATCTTTTCACTCGAGTGCACAGGGCCATCAACAACTGCCTTCTGGCCAACTTCGGTAGAAGGCTGAGAATTTTCAGGTTGAGGAAATGGGCTTTTGTCGTGGTGGCCTTCCATGTTGGATCTGTCAAGTACGTAATAAATGCTCATCTTGTTGATCTCGCGACCAGAACCTTGCAAAACACCATCCTGAGCAACTGTGGTGGCCGGCTGAGGACTCTCCTGTTGAGGAATGGGTGGCAATGGTTTGGTAAATCTGTTCATCATATTAGATTTCATGTTCAGCAAATTTGGGTAAGGATGGTTCTTACACATCATTCTTGTTCACAGCAATTCCCTTCCGACGGGCTGCACCGCGTTCCGCAATACCACGAAGGCCTTCAGCCATGCTGGAGCCTCTGTCTGCGAAGGCACGTTGACTTTTGTTGCCACTCCTCTTTGCAGTACGAGGAACAGCATGTGGATGCTGTCGAAGCCATTGCTGGCGTTCATCTTCATAGAGGATCCCCGACTCGTCATCCCGGTCAATGGTGCTGAGAATTGCCCAGGGACTGACTTGGGGATATGGAGACATTGTTGCGTTTACAGTTTCAATTCAAGATACGGTTCAAAGGCAAATTGCAAGTACAGGAAAATAAATGTTGAAGTATGAGAAAGAGAAGCGTAAAGAATTTCAAGAAGTATGGGAAGAAAGAAGAAAAAGGATTGGAAGAAGGGGATAGTTATGCATCGCTGTCGTCTGAATTGAGGGATACAATGTGCGTCTTTACAATAGCCATTGAATTGTTATTCATGACTACCGAATCAAGCATAGTAGAAAAGTCGAGGCCATTGTTGAGACTAAAAAGAGTATATTGGGACCACATGGTCTGCAACAATAGGATTAGTCCAATAATGTGGCTGGCAATGTCTCAAAACAATCGGAACAAGCAAGGTGGAAACAAAGAGAATACAAACAATAATATTGGAACAAAGAAAATATATAGGAACAAACAATGAACGGACAAACGCAGAAAAATATAATTCAATATTCCTTATCAGGGAGGTTGTTGATAGACCTACCAATCAAACGCCCATCTATCATATGTTCCTAGTTGTATGAGTCAACTCTAAAAAGACGACGTGCTATGACAGCACATTTACTGGCACCCACCACACAAATACTAGTATGCCTTTAATTTTCCAATGCCATTTATTCCGTGTTTGGTCCTGATATGCTGTCTCCATTTTAAGCATGTGATTCCTATAGTTCGGAGCGGTACAACTTGTACCCGACCAAACCTCTTTCGTCATCGCTGCCTCAGGTGTCAACATTTTTATGCTACGCCGCAAATAGACGATTGAATGCTCTATTGAAGCCACTGTGGCTACATGACCGTAGAACTGGAGTTAAACAATCTGAGTGCTATTGTAATGAAAATGTAGCAATGTTTCCAAATGTTTTTTTAATCCAAAAGAGAGATGGAACCGATTCATTTGCCATGGATCGGACCGAGGAAACAAAAATAGAATAGGCAATAGGTCGCAGACTTCGTGGGTATTTCATCTAGAGAATGGCACGGAATTTCGGGTTATCTGCGGTGTAAGTACCAGGTTAAACTACCATGACGGTACAAGACCTAGTCGGGTGGATAAGGCGGCAGGAGGTCAATATTCTCGGCAGAACGGAAGGGGAAAAAAGGCATGTAGCCAATAAGATTGGAGATGGTAGTCCACTAGCCATTTCTATGTCTATGTCTAGATGGATTGGGCAATTCCCCCCTAATGATGAAGTACGGAGTGTGGATGTTGGAGGTACATAGCAAGCTCTATGTTATACATAGTAACAACATGTACTTTCCAGAGATAGATCCCGGGCAGGGGTGCCGAGGCGAAGTCACGTGACTATCCGTCCGCTTACCGAGATCGTTTCCGGGTGGAGCAGAGGGAAAGAGGAGCAATCCAGTCACACTCGAGCTATGCGGCTACTAGCTCGGGATCAACGACGGTAGTCTTATGAACATTTAATTGTGTAAAGCCAGTGCCCCCACAGGGCGCTTGCTTCTTCGATTACAAATCGTCCATAACTCAGTTTCTGGTGAACCTGATTGGCCGCTCCAACCCTCGCACCGCTGCTCCCCACGATTCCGCCGACTCTGAATGCCGTGGATGTTCTCCGTTGCTTCAGTTGAACACCCAATCCGTCCGATTACCCCAGTTACCCGACAGTATATAGAGACAGCCATGGCCCTCATTCATTTTCTTCCGCTCATCGTGCAGGGTGACACTCTAATTTATTCTGCTTTTCTTTCAACTCATACGTACATTTATTCACGCTGATCATATCTCCATCCGCCTACAATTCATAACTACCCCCCACTTTGATCCCTGTGTTCGCTTTTGGCCGCCAACATGGTCCAACAAGAGAATTATGACATTGTCATTGTGGGCGCTGGCCCCGTCGGTCTGCTCTTATCCCTGTGTATGTCACGATGGGGTTACAAGGTCAAGCACATCGACAACCGCCCAGTGCCGACCGCAACTGGTCGCGCCGACGGTATTCAGCCGCGATCTACCGAGATCCTGCGCAACCTTGGCTTGAAGCGCTCTATCATGGCTTATGAGCCTGCCAAGGTGTACGACGTTGCCTTCTGGGATCCCAAGAGTGATGGTTCTGGCATCGGCCGTACTGGCAGCTGGCCTAGTTGTCCTCGTTTTATTGATACCCGCTACCCTTTCACCACCCTAGTCCACCAGGGCAAGATCGAGCGTGTCTTCTTGGATGAAATCAAGAAGGCCGGCACAACCGTCGAGCGGCCATGGACCATCGTTGGCTTCAAGAACGACGGTGTGGACGCTGATTACCCTGTTGAGGTCAACCTGAAGTGCCTGGATACCAATGTCATCGAGAATGTGCGCGCCAGGTACTTGTTCAGTGGCGAGGGTGCCCGCAGCTTCGTCCGTGATCGGCTTGACATCAAGATCCACCATAAGGATCCTATTGCCTATGTTTGGGGCGTTATGGACGGTGTCGTACGCACCAACTTCCCCGATATCGAGGTAAGCATACCCGAAAATACCCAATCTCACGCATTTCTCTAATGCATTAATATATAGACAAAATGCACCATCCACTCCGACGCTGGCTCAATCATGGTCATTCCCCGCGAGGACAACATGGTCCGCCTCTACGTCCAGATCGCCTCCTCCACCGACGCCGATTGGAACCCTCGAAAGACCGCGACTGCCGAAGAGGTCCAGCAGACCGCGAAGAACATTCTGAAGCCATACTGGATCGAGTGGGACCGAGTTGAGTGGTACTCTGTCTACCCCATTGGACAGGGTATCGCTGAAAAGTACACCCTTGACGAGCGAGTCTTCATGGGTGGTGATGCTTGCCACACTCACAGCGTCAGTATTACCCTTTGAAGTTTTTGTTGTTCTGAAAATATCGCTAACGCCTCTAAAGCCCAAGGCTGGCCAGGGAATGAACACTGCTTTCCATGACGCACTCAACATGGCCTGGAAGATCCACGCTGTGGAGAGTGGCTTTGCCAACCGTTCTATTCTTAGCACCTACGAGAGCGAGCGCAAGGATATCGCTGAGACTTTGCTGAACTTCGATTCCAAGTACGCAGCCCTATTCTCCAAGCGCCGTCCTTCTGCTGGTGAGGTTGGTTCTGCCAGCCACACTACTGTGGGTGCTGGTGGGGAGGAGGACGAATTCGTCAAAACCTTTAAGTCATCTTGCGAGTTCACCAGTGGATACGGAGTGGCCTATCAGCCCAACATCTTCACCTGGGACGCAAGCCACCCTGCCAAGTCCGCTCTGTTTAAGATTCCCGGCGTTCATCTGACTGCGGGTCGCGCTTTCACCCCGACCACCGTCACCCGTCTTGCAGATTCCAACTTTGTCGAGCTTGAGCAGGAAGTGCCCGCTAACGGTGCATTCCGCATCTTTATCTTCGCTGGCAACCAGTCCAAGACCAAGAAGGCCATTGCCGACCTTGCTGCCAACCTAGAGAAGGAGCGCTCCTTCCTTTCTGTGTACCGCCGGTCTGACATTACCGATGTGTCGTTTTTCGAGCGCCACAACCCTCACTCTAAGCTCTTCACCCTGTCTGTAATCTACGCAGGCTCCAAGAACACCATTGATGTGGACTCCATCCCCCAAGTCCTGCGCGACTACCACCACCACCTCTATGCCGATGATATCCCCGATGTGCGTGTTCCCCAGGCTCAATTTGCGGCCCACGAGAAGCTGGGCTTCGATGCCGAGAAGGGTGGTGTTGTAGTCACCCGCCCCGACAGCCACGTTGCTTGCACTGTGCAGCTGGTTGAGGGAAGTGGCACTGTTGACGCTCTCAACGAGTTCTTCAACGCGTTCTCGACGAAGCCGCTGGGCCAGGAGTCTCAACAGAGCCGCCTGTGAGAATGTTGACGTGTTTATGAGTCTGTATTTTACCTTTGAGATGTATATAGCTTGTTTTATTCGTTCGTTGCGAGCGATAGCTTGAGCATGACCGGCGTTTATTTTCAATTTATATATGAATAAAATTTCTGATTCAAATACCAACACTCCTCTTTACACTTCTATCTTTTGTATTTCAGAGTCTTGATAAGCTCAATGTTTATAGAGTGGTCACATGCCAAGCCTCGATCTACGTTGAAGTATTTTCCCATCTCCACCCCGCATCACCTGCAGAAAGGATCTTGACTTCAGCCATCACAACTTAAGATCAAGGTCACTCACTTGACTTCAAAAGCGAAAAAAATGCTCACTCTTTCGGTCGAAGCTCAGCTGGAGGGGTAAGTGGTCCTACCTTGGCTGTCTGATTATTGAGCCTTTGCAGGTGCTTGGATCTCCCCGCACTGCACTCCAATTCCAGGAACGCCGCGCGGGCAGATCCTTTCGGCCACCATTATCAAAGAGTCAACCAGCTGATATAATGATATAGCGTTACTGCCCTCCTACCCACAGACACTGAGGAAAATCCCTACTTCTACACTTTCCGAGTGCAATGCACCTCCTGCCACGAGACGCACCCCAACTGGGTCAGCTTCAACCGTTTTGTACGTGGAATACTTACATACTGCTCTCCGTTACATTATGATTGAGTGGTTTATTGACTGGATTGATGTATAGGAGGTGCACGAAATCCCCGGTAGCCGAGGCGAGGCTAATTTCGTGTGGAAGTGTCGACTATGCACGGTAAGCTAGCTTTCCCCCCCAATCTGACAGATTGAATTTGCGAGTTGTTTCCATTTCGGTTGCACTCCGCTTTGTTGGCATCAATCATTTGGGCCTCTGCGACCTTTGCATGATTACACGGCTAATAACCGCATAGAAAACCCACACTGCCTCCATCACTAGCGGACCTAAGGCCTATGAGGCCCAGGAAAAGCAGAACTCCCAGAAGATCATCGAAATGGACTGCCGTGGCCTTGAGTTCATCGAGTTCAAGCCTGATGTGAGTAAATCCCAACTTCTGGTAATTTTATGTGCTGACGAAGATAATCCAGGGTGAATGGGAAGCCAAGGCTATTGAGTCCACCACCACCTTCTCTGGAATTGACCTTTCAGAGGGTGAGTGGTATGACTACGATGAGAAGAAGGGTGAGGAGGTCAGTATCAAGGAAATCACCTGGACTGTTGGCCGTTAAGCGAAGATCTACTTGACGATGATGATTTTCAGACGTCTGAATCTATGAAGCTCTGATGAACTCTGATTATATTTTCCATTGTATTATTACTGGTGTCTGTTGATGAGCTTAACCTTGGAAGCTGTGATGGGAATGGGGGCACGGAGCATGCTGAAAACGGGGATATATCAATGATGAGAAAATGAGCGATAAAAAGAAAATCTCCTTTGTCTTCGCTGTAATGAGTTAACGTAGGGCATTTACCTACAGCAAAAACTCTCATCTCAATCCAACCACTTTGCCCACTATACAGGAACTTGAGGGCGGTAAAGAAATACGGGCGCTGATTGGCCATCTACCACCGCCTTATTCACCTCACATTTTCGCGATCTCGCCGTCTCCGATGTCAACTTAGCTAAACACGACCAACACGATCAACCAGCAGAGTGAAAGACTTTGCTCAAGATTCTACTGTCATCATATCCTCAAATCCTCCTCCACCTCAACGAACCAAAAACCCATACTCGAGCCACAATGAGTGTATGTCTTTCCCCTCAAGCTCTGCCCGCTATCAAGCTTGAGATCCCACTCATTAGCACCTGGACCTGTATGGGCTCTCCAGAAGACCAATTGCTAACTCGCACTTTTACAGTTCCAACCACTTAACCCCCGTCCCTTTCTCCAGGCTCGGTATGCGACCCGCCCCCAACCCACCCCGGACCCCATTAAGCAAGCCCAAGCAGCATATCTATCTCTCGAGACATTCACACACATGCGCCGTTGCTGTTGACATAGCTTGCTAACCTATATATCTCTACAGCGTGGGCACCGAAGTCCTCATCCGTCTGAAGTGGGGCCAGACCGAATACAAGGGTACTCTCGAGAGCATCGATTCATACATGAACGTCCTGCTGCGCGACACGCAAGAGTTTATCGACGGAAAGCCCACTGGTGCATTGGGTCTTGTTCTGATCAGGTATGTGATGCGCGCTTCAGCTGGCTCGACGCCAAGCTGGATACTTGTGATTCTAGTTTGGCTAACCCTCTTTATTTCCCCTGCATAGATGCAATAACATCCTCTACATGGGCTCTGCCGATGCTATTGAGATGACGGACATGGAATTTAAATAATATGTCGCATACCCCGGAATGGAGATGCGATGCAGTGCGGTACATGAGGGGGAGTGATGGGAGATGACGGCTGTTTTTATGTGTCTGGAAGTGTGTGCTTCGATGCTGTGGTTTTGGAGCAGCGTACCTAGCACAGTGGGATTCTTGTTCCATTGAATGGATGAGTTGCTTGGTTTGGGGTACGTACCCTCAGATGCCTGCTGCGCCCGCCAGGCACCCGGAGACACGACCTCTGACGAGCTAGCATCTGCACAGATAGACACGGAGGATCGAGTGTACCAGGCTTGTTGGCACTCAGGTGTGTATTACGCACAATTTCAATTTATCACGAGGCGTTTGTTTGTTTATGGCTTTTCAAAGAGGGGTTTGTGCATGGCCTCTAACCAAAATCGAATCAATTACTTTCTGCACGACTCTGAGAGGCATACGTAGTTGGGTTCTTTCTTGGTTAATCAGGGCTGCGCTCGAGTCTGCTGCGCCATCAAGTGTCGAGTGCGATGGTGCATTGTATTATGACTCAGGTGCGCCGCAGTGACGAGCACGAGAACGTCTCCGGCCGGTTACTCCCCCCCTTTGTTCAGTCGGAGGGCATCGGTGAGAAAAAGGGGACCACAGCCGAAATTCAATAGGGATCGACATATTTTGAATGTACGTGTACTCCGGTGCACTGAAGCAGTGACAAGACACTATGACCCAGGGCAATCAGTTTCTCAACAGAAAATATGTTGTAGTAGCTCCCAAGTGCTGTTATGATTCGTATTTCGGGGCCGGAGTATAGTCTCCACCCCCGACGGCCCCGACGGGCTTCCCATTCCTGGAGATAACTGTATCGCACAGTCCGCACGATGGTCCGGTTGACATCAGCTCGGGCGGCGCAGCCCTGAATCTCGAATGGGGCGAATCCACTTACGTATACTAACACCCCTGTTCCTCTTGACGCGGTTTATGATCACACATTTTCCATGTTATATGACATTTGTTGAAAGAGACTCGGATGTGTGGCGGGTTGAGGTGGCTAATTGCTGTGGCGGTTCTTTTTATAGAAGACGACGTACCACATGGCGCACAATGTACCATATGTATCGACCAATGTACATACCAAGAGCCGATCATCCATGGACCCGTCGACTTGTTTACCCCCTCTGCAGTCCCTGACCACCCACACCTATGATAGAGATTTTCATGCTATCAACGTCATGGCGCTCGAAGGATGGCATCCACAATAGTAAGCTAAGACGAATAGCGCACTGCAGGGTTATTGTAGTCAGTTTCAGAGTCTATGGGGGGCCTTGTCTACAGAAGAGAAAAAAACCAAGGAGCATATGATCTTCCTAGATCATAGACCAAATTCGACTTGGACCCATTCGTGTCAGGTGCTTTCTCCATACATCTAAACGAACCATCACGGTCCTTCATAATGATGGTCACTCGGACGCCACCAAAGTAATTGCCGATCATTGCCCCCGCAGCTAAAAACTAATTGCCAAAACGGGCTTGTGCATTGATGTACGGAGTACAGAGTATGCACTCAACTTGTGGGGTTTCGAGATGCCTTGAGGGAAAAAGGTTGCCTACTTGGATAGTACACATTGACTCGAACGTGTACTTCTTGTATAAGTAGTATAGAAATATATAAAATATAGAAATAAAATCTGAAAAGGAGCCAAACACAACGCTGATCATAGTCTACAGACAAATCTTATAGTTGGACCAGCGAATCACTAACTTGCCTACTCCACTGATCTTCGGTACTGCAGACATTCACATTTCCTTTTTTGTTGTCGGAAGCCATTTCCATCCTTTTGTTTTTTTTATAAAACCTCCCATCTCCTTCATTCTTCTTTATTTTTCTATTCTCCGATTCCCCATTCTCTATTCTCTCCAAAACTTGAAACACTTAAATCTCCACAAGTCTGCAGTCAGCTCAAACCTGGAACACTCTTTGTCTCATCTCGCGCTGGAACCTACACAAAACTATACAATTTCCTTCTACTTTGCAATTCAAAATATACTCTCCATTTCCTACTAAACCACAAACTACAAACCACACGAACGTTCGCTTACACAATGCGTGACACACCCTCCAAGTTCATCGAGATGCTCGATCCCAAGGACTCATCCCTACGCATGTCCGACTCCGACGTCCGTCTTGAGGATGTCCTTGCCGACCACGAAGCAACCATCAACAACCGGGCCCGTTCCTCCACACAGTCCTCTACAAAACCAGACAAATCCTTGGCTCGTAGGAACTCAACATCCCCGACGCCGCGCTGGAAACGTCTGAGTAATATTCTCGCGCAACCCCGCCGGAACTCCTAACATACTACACCCCCACTCTACAGTGACGTGCCTCGGTTTTCCTATACTCCACTCTACTATATGTCTCAGGCACCTGTTCGGAGTTTTGTGGACAATGCCGAACACATTTCTTGCGATGTGAAAACGAAATGAAAAAACGAAAATGCAAATGCAAATGCAAATGATTTTTTATGGCTACATTTACGACTTGACTAGCAATTTTGGGTCTGTGTTTCGTGCCCGGGGCACGGTGACATGGACTGAGAACTGTGGATTGCAAACGAGATTACGAATTGAAATGATACAAAGTTATGTGAGCTACGATACTAGCCTGGTTGCTATTCGGGTGTTATCGAGTGTTTAGCCCCGGACTGCTTTTTAGTCTGCTCTAGCACTGGCCCGGTTGACAAGGGCAGGATTTTGACCCCGCTTTGATGATTTGATGAGTGTGTACCTTGTCTAGGTGGGTATTTGGATTTAGATCTATATTTGGTTCTAGATTTGTCCTTTGGCACATGTATAGAAACCAAATTCTTCAGGAAATGAAGAACGCGAACGGTCTGAGACCTGCGTCTATCTATTATTCGATTCTTGTCAATATAACTTCTTATTGCTTCTCTACTGCTTGTCCCTGCCGCTTGTAGCCATAGTACCTTTGATACCCGTTGTAGCCCTAAATTGAACCATACATTTAGTCCGAATCTCGTCCATGAAGCGACAGTAACCGAAATTCTATTTGACCCCGTTGTTTGTTCTTGAACTTTGTACCTGGCAAATATTAAATCCGGCGGGGTCTTAGCTTTGGCCCTGGAATGAAGATACTCACTACCTATCAGGCTTGTAGCATGTACATAATAGGTACCAGTGGACTCTGAACCCTCGGAGTGGATCATTCATGCTACAAATCCAGTCCCTCTCAGACTGATCCAATAAAAAGGGCTTTGTTGGAAATGTTTCAGAGAGTCAGGAACATATGTCAGTCAAGCTAGGATAGTTCTTTCACTTTTTCTATTGCCTAGCACAGCAGCTCTCAGTGTCAGGGCATACGACTCGCGACTCGGCGCTGTATCGGACTCTGTCCCTGCGCCGGACTATTCGGACCTTCAAGCCTAGACTAAATAGTGCGCATATAGAGCTATACGAGAGACCTGCGGATGCAGATTGAAATTTAAATAATCTCAAAATGAAAAGAGAACTGTAGCAAAGCGACATAGAATGTCGGACAAATTTCGAGACTGAGAGCTCGTCCATTTAATTTGTATGGACTCTGGCTTAATCTATAATTATTATAATGTATATTAATTTGATACATGTTGAGTCAGTCTGGTTGAATATGCCCGGAGATTTCCCGGCATACTAAATCCAGTCTTCTCAATCATCCAATCAGCTCCATCCCATGTCCACCTTTCCTCTCTTCCATCAACCTGCTAATCTCGGCCGGATGCACCACGTTAAACGCAGCCATTACCAGCAGCATAAGAGCGGCATCGAAAACGTAACTCCAGAATTCATGCTGGAGCAATGCCCCGCTGCTTCCCTGGTTGTACTCGATGTATCGGAAGATGGACCGGACGAAAATTAACAGACTACCGATGTATAACACGGTCTGGTGTTTCTTCCAGGGGACTACCTGCTGTTGTAGCACCCTTGACCCGTTTTTCTCAAGCTTGACGTGGAAAATGATGCTCGTGATTATGAAGATTCCGAAAAAGATAATTTGAATGATCAAGCCGACTTTGATCACATTTCCGCCCTTTGCTGCTGTACTGGCTTTGACGAGCATTCCGGCTCCTGCATTGATGCAATATAGCGTTAGTCAATCGGAAGATGCAAGATATTGTGGACTCATTGAGGGACTCTATATGTGTAAGGTATCTTACCTCCTGCCTGAACTAAGAATGATACCACATCCCCAACCACAAAGATCTTCGTCAACCACGAGCGTCGGATCGGTGACAAGTGTTCTCCACCAGTGATAATCATGATGCGGCCAAGTTCCATATAAATACTTGCAGCGAGCAGCGACGGCGCGACGAGGACAAATATGGCTTGAATAGCAAGAGGAGGAGTTGTGTAATTCGGGTATTCGTTGGAAGAAACGACACGCTAAAGCTGTGAGCATATTCCCTATCTGACTTGATCGAGCATCGAGATTGGCTTACGCCTATATATCCAATAATCTCAACTAAAGAAAACTTGTGTTAAAAAGACCCGGAAAATAGCCCGAAGAGAGGCTCGACAGCAAGTGGGTACACTGAGCTGATACTCACATATTCCTCCGAATATAAAAGCAGTGAAGAACCAAGTCCGACCACGGAACATTTGCCAACAATGCAGGAGGGTTAAGATTCCGAATAAGACAATGAATGTCACTGCAACTGGTATTGAAGGTATGTAGTCATACTCTCCCATATACTTGACTTCAACCATTGTGTCTTTGAGCGTGTTGTCTAGATCAAAAAATCAACCAACGATCGAATTGAGCTGGGCTTGCACACGACTGAACAGTTATATATCTCCAAGGTTCAGGGGATTTCCGGAGCCAATTCTAAACGTTGAAGCCTATTATATTTTTGGATATAAGCTCAAGAAATCTGACAAGTATGATAGAGTTCGTACAACATTCCCGGCTGGACTTGTCGTTTCTTTGTCTCCGAAGTGCTCGTTTACCGTACACTCGGCTCAACTTTCCCCTACATCCGAAACAACTCTCACAGTACGAATGTGATGGAATTCCCATATGCCTTTCTTCTCAAATTTCAATTTTGGGGATTTATAATCTGACAATCTGACGGAACACCCCGTATCCGAGTCTCCACAATCGGCCTGCGCCTCTATACACTGGTGGATACCTCGATCTCACCCCTTTCCAACTCCACGACGCTAAGCCTGAGAAGGCATGCAACTTGCGAAAGCACAGGCATGTTAGGACTAGCCTCGACCATATATATCGCTTAGGTACTCCATACTAGTCTTATGCTCACATATACTGACACTAAGTGGTGGCAGTGCGATGTACACCGGCCTCTGTGCGGTTTATGTTGTACGCATAAGGCGCAAACTCGGATATAACTACTCCGTGTGTGCATGGGGCTTCCTTTAGCTCCGAAGTCTTCTTCTGCATTACAAGGACATATCAATGTGAATTCTCGCTCTGTGTCGCCCAGCGATACTAGGCACCATAGAGATGGGCACCCTCTTGAGAGGATTCCTGTTTCTTCCTAAGCAGCTTTCAAATCTAAAAGAGGAATTGAGGTTAGATAAATGGCTATATCCGGGTCGCAAACCCAGTAATCGAGAATCAAGGCATGCTGGATGAATCTCATATCTTGTTCGAAAGCCAGCCTTAAGGCTTCCTTCTTTGATAGAAACTTTACCTTTGAGAGTCAAACTAAGAATAATTTCCACCTCTTTAGGTGTCAGGACACCAGGATATGTTCAGGGAAAAAATTACGGACTCGGGGTTCAGTTCAAACCACGTAGGATTCAGGGACGAGACCGGGAATATTTTTGCCAGTGTCAGTAGAAGAAATAGACTGCTATTTCCATACATTGATAAAACAGAAAGTAGAATATGTAATAATTCCTAAACAATTCTCAAAAGTAATTGCATGTAAGAGGAGAAGTTGTTAAATTGAAGCTTTTCAAAGCTGATCGATCTCTTATCAAATCTGCCCCACATCAACCTCCCCCATCACCTCAAATTATCCAAATCACAACTGCAGCAACCCTGTAGCTGTGACTGTGATTGGAGATTTCCCTGCAAAAGCCCGTGTTTAGTCCAAGATTCAACGCCAAGCAACAAGCTTCCGCGACGCTCCCCGAAACCCAGACCGTCGCGTCGTTGAGCGTGTGCCCGAACGTGCCAAGTCGTGTCATTCCACACTTGTCACCTCATCTAGCCCTACCAGAATACCAGAAGTCAAAAAAAGATGGCCTGGCTGCAGCAAACACCAGGCTCTGGCGGTCGTACCGCCTCCCCAACAGTCTTTGAGCAGCAGCGCGAGGAACTCGTCCGGGAGATCGCAGTGGTATGTACCATGTCCACGAACTCCCCCATCGGGAGTTCTTATCAGCCACAACAACCGATGTTAATTTATTCGAGCAGGGAATGGAGCAAGTACTTCAAAACATGAACCGTTTGAATCGGAATTTGGAGAGCGTGATTGCGGTAAGCTTCAGCACCCGGACAGGGAAAGCGCAGCTGCTAATGGTATTATTAGGTTGGGAATGAATTTGGATCAGTGGAAGCGCTCTGGTCCCAGTTTGAGAACTTCATGGGCCGACCTGAAGAACAAGGCGAGGAGGCTGGTAATGGCAATGGGAAGCGGAAGGTTAGTGGAGAGAGTGATGCGAGTAAGTCGGGAGTAAAGCGTGAAAACGACGAGGGTGACTCGACAGTCATGCAGTGATGGTTTACATTTTGGTCTGCATGATGGGTCTCGGCGTCGGGCTGTTTTACTTTTTTTCTTCTCTCTTTTCTTAGATACCATTCAAAATTCGGGTTACATTTACCTGGAAATAAAGATATACGAATCCTACGGGGAAGACATTGATAAACACAAAAGGTCAAATGTATTCAGTAACACATAGGACATCGCTTTCGCCAACAGAACATATCAGATAACATAATCGAGAACACCAATCCCATGCATGCCAATGGAAAACGGCAGAGACCCGATTCGTGAGAGACATCAAATGGAACAAGGGGAACAAGGGTCGTGAAAAGGGCCAAAAAGAACACAAGGGGGAAAAAACGTGGAATAAAAGAAACAGCCTCCAGCAAAAATAAAAAAGAATCGAGATCATTGTAAGGGCCGCACAGCGTATCCATACAACAGAGAAGGATTTAGAAAGTCATGTCTAGCTTTGTCCAGCTTGCGGCGACATGTCACATACATAGGCGAGCGGGCAAGCAAGCCGACGAAGCAACCAGGCTTGTGGTCCGGCCAGGAGAGAAAGGAAGCAAAGGGTGTCGAGAATGGAAGAAGATATAGATCGAGTAGAATCAATCTACAGAATCTTGCAAGTGCGCTTCTTAATCTTCTTGCCGGGGCGGGGGCCTCCACCCCCTGAAGGGATAGCGCTGGCGCGATTGTTGCGGCTGTTACGACCAGCCGGTTGCTGAGCTGTCCAGCCTTGTTCTTCGATTGAGATGGCCGAGTCAACGGCCTTGGCGAAGACTTCATCCACACCGCGCATCTCCTTACTACTGCATTCGGCATATGTTGCTCCCATCCGTTGGGCGACATTTTCGCCTTGCTCTGGTGTGATGGGTGTCAGGCCTTGTGTTTTGAGGAGTTCAATGCAGGTTCGCTTATTGCGCAGGTCGGACTTCAAGCCAACGAGAATAATGGGTGTGGTGGGACAGAAGTGTAGAACCTCGGGATACCACTAAAAAAAAGGAGAGATGTTAGACAAATCCAGCAAAAGCAAAGATATTCCAAATTTAGGACTCACCTTGTCAACAACATTCTCCAATGATGCGGGGCAATCGATAGCAAAGCAGACAAACAGAAGATCAGTCTCGGGATAGGACAGTGGACGCAAACGGTCATATTCCTCCTGTCCAGCAGTATCCCAGAGGGCTAATTCAACGGTCTTACCAGAAGCCCGATGCGTCGTTTGGGTGATATAATTCTCAAACACCGTGGGGACATATTTCTAGATGAGAATCAGCACCCGGGATCATATCTTTCCTCGCAGGTTGAACGTACCTCTGGGAAGTAACCTTGAGAATAACTGATCAACAGACAAGTCTTGCCACATCCACCATCGCCCACCACTACAAACTTTTTTGAGAATGAGGGCGGCTGAGTAATATTTGTTGCCTCGGACATCCGTCCACTGGAGACACTGGTATTGGTGCTGGCTGTGCCGTGGCTGACTCGGATGCTGTCGCTGCGCGCACGACTGTGACGCGGTGTCAAAGATGGAGGAGGGGTGGCGAGAGAGCGGCGGCGCGATGCTGCATGGTATTGATCTTCGTACGTAGCACTCATGGTGAGTAGGGGTAGGGGGTTGGAATGTCCCTCGTTTGTAATGTGATACAGGGGAAAATGGGGATTATCAGTCTGCTGATAGGATGAGATTGTTGATATGGAATGAGAGGTAAGAGTGAAGAAACAGAGGAGAAGATAGATCTAAAAAAGATCTAGAGGATCGATAGAGCAAGAGGGTCTGGCGAGACCCGTGAGACCTGTGAAACCCGTGTTTACACCGGGGCTACCATAGCAACGGCCGTGCCTCTATGACGCCAGGGCTCCGCTTCCCACGATTAAAGGCCTCGATATCCTGTATCCTGACATTGACTGGTTTTATCTCGATCCTGTTTTGCTTTTGACTCCACTAATATATTCTTGTTCTCCACCGTTCAGCTCACTATGGCGCAGCTTTTGTTGTATGCAGTTTACCCGATGATGTCAGGTGATTTGTAGATCTTTCCTTAGATATGAGGCTTCACTGTCTTTCTTTTCTAATATAAGCTATCATATAACCTATCTGTGTATCTTGTATAAGGCTTACATCTAAAGAAGGATTTTAAATCCAAGTATCTAATTGAAAATCGAGTAGCCAAGATAATATAAAATATAAAATCAAATGGGCTTTGACCACGCTAACTCTGCAGGTCATCTTTCGACTTTATTCAACGGAGAAGACCGACATCCCGTGTTGAATAGCCTTAGATACGAGTTGACAATAATCCTTCCTTTTTTAATATTTTTTTTTATAAAATTGTAGTTTTCTTGCCCTTTTGATCTCCTAGGAGATATCAATTGCAATCTTATATCAATCTTAGAATGAGACAGGATCGTCTCAACCGAAGCTAGGTAAGGGCCGCATAGTACATATAGTATCACCCGGAAAAATGAGCTGAAGAGTTCAAAGCTACTTAAAGACATTAAAGTAGTCAATGAAAATCTATTAGAGATAGTGGATCAACATTGATTTCACATGTATTTAGCGACCTTGAGGACTATATTATCTGGTTGACGATACTCCGTACATACGTTGTAAATAAAATTATAGATCCAACATATTTTAATCCGTACTTGAATATAGATTTATATAAACGAGAGATTTTATCTTAGTAAAATCAAGTACCCACGATGTACACCTGCCCGTGGGCATCCATAGATCCATGGATGGCCCCAATGCAAAGTGACTAAGCACACACATGGCAGCTCCGGGGCCATTAGGGGTTTGAGCCGCGGATGATCTTCCCGTCAACTTTAGAGGATATTCCCATTCAACCTCGAGTTTCTCCATTATATCATTTGCCTCAATCTAACTTCAATTCGCTCTTTATGGTCTGAACCCCTACATCCCTAAACCCCTCAAACGGACCGGCAGGCAGCGGCCTGTCCATCTATGGAATCCATCCGATTGCGACACTGTCTAGACCGATAACACTGCATCATGGGCAACAAAAAGGACCAGCCCGATGCTGGACTGAAGAGCCTGAATCACTGTATGCGACTGGCTTCTTTTTTTCCACGCTCGTGGCTTATCGGGATGTCCGCTAACCGTCGCGCGTTTGCGACATAGATTCGAATCGATTGCCCCTCTGGCGGTACTGGCCGCGACAAAAGCTCATCCCATTGATCCGATATGAGACGCCATACTTGGCTTGGGTGCAAGAGAAAGTGCGCACGCCAACCCTTGACTCGTATTTCGCGTTCACAGCCAACCTCGGCACTCATACCTTCTTCATGGTCTTCTTGCCCTTCCTCTTCTGGTGTGGTTCCCCCAGTATGGGCCGTGGGTACGTTTTCTTTTTGGAATTGAAATTGAAATTGCAGGTGGAGGTATGTGGCTGACAAGGATTGTCCATAGATTGGTACACATCTTAGCGTCGGGCGTCTTTTGGAGCGGCTTCCTCAAGGACCTACTATGTCTTCCTCGCCCTCTGTCTCCCCCACTCCAGCGGATTACCATGTCCGGTTCTGCAGCACTAGAATATGGCTTCCCTTCGACACACTCCACCAACGCTGTCTCGGTTGCGGTCTATGCTTTGGCCCTGCTTGGTTCACCCGACTCCACTCTTAGCGCGCAGGTCACCCTCTTACTCCAAGCTATCACCTATATCTACGTCGTGTCCATTGTATTGGGTCGACTGTATTGCGGAATGCATGGGATGCTGGACTGTACTGTTGGGTGTGCTATGGGTGCGGCCATCGGCCTCGTACAATTTCATTATGGACCTGCCTTTGAGGAATTCATTTTATCCGCTTCGCTGATGGAAATTTCCCTGCTGGGACTTGTTATCATATTCCTCGTCCGTGTTCATCCGGAGCCGGCGGATGATTGCCCATGCTTCGATGATAGTGTTGCATTCGCAGGAGTTATGCTAGGCGTGGATGTGTCTTCATGGCACTTCGCCGATATCTGGATCGGTTATCCTTCTGGATCAATTCCCTACGACCTCGAGACCGTGGGCTGGATTAAGACTGTCGTTCGTCTGGTCGTGGGCGTTTTGTGCGTGTTTGCTTGGAGAACTGTAACAAAGCCTGCTTTGCTGCGCATTCTGCCACCTATCTTCCGGACTCTGGAGAAGCTTGGTCTTTTGCTCCCTCGACGTTTCTTCACCACCGCATCGTGAGCCTGAATGTGCTTCCTGCCTGTGGACGATACGCTGACCTGTTCTTAGTGAATACACCACCATTCCCTATAACCTAAAGGATCACGACGTTCTTCCAAACTTTTCTGACATCCCAGACATCATTACCACAATGCGCCATCCTCGCCGCCGAGCCATCTCGATTGGCCCTCAGTCCGAAGCTGATGCGTATGAGACCCTGGCGTACCGGGAAAAGCGCCGTCGCGAGAGTCAATCTGGGAGCAACCGTCCTTCTCCAGTCGCAGAGGATCAACTCAAGCCTAATGGAACGCCCGTGCGGTCCAGAAAGACGGCATCGCTAGACGATTATGAAGGCATGATGGGCAGAGGCAGCCCTGGTTCATCCGCAGTGGATGTGAATTTTGACATACCGACAACACCTTTCCCTTCGCTAGATTTCGAGGCTGGCGAGCGGGAGGAAAAAGAGGTGTTCTCCCAGATCAAGAAGCCCCGCGTGCGGTATGACGTGGAGGTAGTGACAAAACTAGTTGTATATGCGGGTATGTGAAACCCCTGGATTTTGACACAACATTTGCTGATATCAGTCTCCTTCAGGTATTCCATGGGTGGTCATTGAAGTCGCACCTCTATTATTCGACCTAATCGGGCTCGGGACCCGATGATGACGAGGATGAGAAACGGATTGATAAAAGTGCAATTAGCGTTGCAGCCCCTCTCTTCCTAGCTCTACCAAATCCTCGGCCTGCTCCTAGCTCAGCGGGCTGTGCTAGAACAGGCCAGCCTAGAAGTATCCTTTACGTTGTCCATGTACATAAGCATTGAAAGCAATATTTATCCACAGGTCTTCTTCGGTCTCGTCAGACATCCTGCTCAAGTACAGGTACGGGACCAGCTTCATGAGCTACGACATACAAGACAAATGAATGAAACAAGAACAAAGGGTGATCAAGCCTAGGTGCAATCGCAATTTTCTCTTTCAAGTTGTCGCATTGTGATGGCTGTTTATAGAGTCCGCCACAAGACAACTGTTAGATGAAACACCAAAGAGCATGAGACCAGATTAGAAGAAAACTATATCTAGCACAAGCTGAAGAATAACATGCAAAAGAAACTGCTCTCAAAAAAGATAGTCAAACAAAGAGTGACAATGTGTGCAGCCGAGTAGGTCAAAGCAACAACAATGGAGGCTGGGGCCGGGGAATATGTGATGAGTCAGCAGCATGATGAAAGAACCCAGGGCACCGCGTCGGCTCATATTGTTCCCATACCTCTTCTACTGCGGAGTATTTGCCTTCAATTCTGGGTTCGGGATAGATATTCCAGTCATGCCCAATGATGGATCTTGAAGTCTCGTCTTCATCTACCTGCTCATTCCTCCCTTTTCATACCAACCTTCATTCAACCACCGTCAATCTACTTGAAGGCGCGTCATCGGACGAGTAGATCGCGGTCGACTTTCTTGCCCCCACTAGTTCGACGTGACTTTCTGTTTCGCATCAACATGGGGTTCTTCCGCTGGCCTCGGTGCAAGCGACGCGCCTCCCCTCCGAAGCCCACGGACTCGTTCAATGTTCCCAATCCCTTTGAGGCCTCAAAGCCTCCATTTGACGCCCATGATGGTATGACAGCCCCTCCTTGGAAGTCTAAGTCACATATACTAAAATAAAGCTCAGCCTTAGATACTTCCCAGTTGCCCATTCCAGGAGCCTTCCCGTCAACTCCTCCTGAATCACCTACCCTTATTGTGTCACAAGGCCCGACTATCGAGGAAGAAGAGGTCCCACCGAAGGGGTGGGAATATATGGACATTGATGTCCGTCCAACACCAGCTCTTGTTACTGATCTCGGCATACATCTCCACCCTCGATTACCGCCATACACCCCTCCCCCTCCGAGCGCTAAGCGCATTCCGTCGCCAAGACCAACTAAAACCCGCAAGCCCGTTGAACATGATCTTATGGACATTGATGACCCGTGGGATCAACAAGCTCAACAAGATGCAAGGCTTCCTCACGGCCCCATTTCCGCTGTACAGTTATTTTACCCCAACAGGAGGCTGATTCCTGCCAATCGCCTTGCATCGTGGTACGAGGCGGAATTTGAGAAGCGGGAGAAAGAAAGATTAGCTCGGGAGCGCGATCTCCAACGTCCAACCAGAGTGATCCCAACGGGTTATCCCGTACGTCTGATTTCGCCCGAGTGGCTTTCCAAACTTCAACGCGCCGTGCAGAGTGGACAAGGACATTCCGTCGCCAAATCATTAGCGGGAGACGATCTGTACCAGCGGGATATCATCACATGCATTCGACCTGAGGCCTGGCTCAATGATGAAATCATCAATGCCTACCTTGGTTTACTCGTCCACTACCTCCGTCAAGCGCATGGAAACCTCGGCCCTAGCGACCGGCCGCTCTTCCACGCCTTCAACACCTTTTTCTATTCTACCCTCCGTGATAAAGGATATCAGGGCGTGCAACGGTGGGCAAAACGGGCGAAGATCGGGGGTGAAGGACTGCTTAATGTCGACACAGTCTTCATCCCTGTACATGAGTCAAGTCATTGGACCCTCATGGTGGTTCGACCAGCAGACCGTACAATCGAGTATTTTGACTCCCTAGGATCCCGCGGTCCTCGCCAAGTGAAAAATGTCAAGCAATGGCTTCGTGGGGAGCTTGGGTCAAAATATAATGATGCTCAGTGGACTGTCCTGCCATCCGTCTCTTCTCAGCAAGACAACGGAAGCGATTGCGGTGTGTTCCTCCTAACAAATGCCAAAGCGATCACTGTTGGGGTTGAACCCACCGCCATTGGCCCAAGCCACATTACACTTCTCCGCAGAAAGATTGTTGCGGAGCTCATGAATGGTGGTCTTCATGGCGAGTTCAGCCCACATGACAAAGCAACAGGTGCAGTTTTGCTTTGAATAAACACAAAAGGACCGGTTGCCTATTGCCACAGAGGCACCACCTTCTCTTCTCGCTCCCTTACATTGAATTTGGGGTTTTGTTCACCCTCCTACATAATCTCACATACCTCATCCATCCCCAACCCACACTTATCCACATCAAGCACTATCATCAAGGCGTTCTTGGTTACCATTACACATTACCTGCTATTTCGGCGCGCAAGGCGAACACACGGAAAAGATGAAAAAGGACAATGAATTTTCTTTTGGCGCGCTCTTTCTATGTGATATTTGCAATGAATCTGAATGATACCCCACGGTCACCACCATCATGGTGACTCAGTTAATACAAACAATCCGTTTCTCCTGGACTGATTTGGTCATGTTTCTTTTTTTACTTGGTTCTCTTGTTTTCCTTTGGGGTCGTTTTATTTTACATAGCACCAGCTTTCTTTGCCACTTGTAGAGTCATGTATTTCTATTGTATTACTGTTCTGCTCTTCAATCTAACCTCGGGACTATACACAGCCAATTATTATCTAGTAGTAGAAACTGGAGGAAAGCGTGGGTTAGTCCGAGCAACCTCGCTGAATGTGCATATCAGCCCTAAAATGATGGATGAGATCATCAAAGAACTATAATGAGAGGCTGACACCTTTCAGTTACACAGTTGCCTTTTACCCTGGGGTGGTCAAGTCAGATACTCACATCGTCGCGCTCTTGCAGCAGGTCTTGGATGCTGCGGTCTGCTTACTAGAGAATGCCCCAGAAGGACAAAAGGATTACTATCTGGGGTCGAGGGCGAAGGATTTTTCTCTCATAGTATCTTCCTGGCTTAGAAAAGACTAAGACTGTAAACATGATACTTAATCCTGGCTGACATATTTTTTCTCTGATAAAACATTTCATTCTCTCCAAAAAGTAGAATACACCATGCCAGTCAAAGCCAAGAATCCAGAGCCAAAAAAAATGAATGACCAAAACTGAAAATAATACAAACATCTGCCAGAAGAGCCTTAAAGTTCATCAATTTTGCATGGTCTCCGACAAGATTCATGAAGAGGCCTGTTCCTCCACTTCTTTCTTCTGCACTCGCGGCCCTGCCTACCTGGCTTGCACTTTTCGTGGTTTTTATCTGGCTCCAATGGATTCCCATTGCCAAGCGAATCATTTCCGAGAGGGGCACTTTGATCGCCGCCATGGTTCTGCGAAAGAGACACATAAGGGCCCCTGAAAGCATCAGAGGAACGGTTGTAGATCAGCTCGATGTATTCGATACCCATGTATATACTGTCGCCAATTCTCATATCGCCCGTCCAGAGCCCGCCATCACTCCAGAGATTGAGAATTATCATGCTATCTAGGTCAGGGACCCTGTATGATTTGGCATCCTGTATCTGGTTGTTGACATACCACCGTGACATATCCGAGAGCCAGTCCAGGCGATGTGTGGACCACGTTGTCCATGGAACAGGTATATCGGCAATAGTGCTCGCACCGGGGATCTCATGATCAGCAGCAAAATCATAATCGGGCTGATTGGCATAGTGCACGCGATGGGGAGGGTCCTTCGTCAAAATCTCAATGTCCGATTCACAGGTTTGGTCATGGTAGGTGAAGATGCCAGCACAAGCGCCGTCAGGTGGCCTGCCATCACGGGGCGGCATCGTCTTGTTCAAAGACATGGTGGGATGTTGTTTTGGGTCCCGTGGTGGCCATTCTTTATGCTGAGGGGGCTCGGATATGATAGAGCCTGCTGGCAATAAACGCAGCCGGACACGCACCGAGCACCGGTAGATGTTGCGTATGCGAGTCTCGATCTCCGCAGTGGAGGTGTATTCTGAAAAGCGGGTGGTGCGTAGAACAAGATACGTCGCATGAGGGTCATTTTCCTCAGGGTCCCGGGTGAGAAAGACATTGTGCTTCGAATTTACCATGAGGACCGGGGCTATAGGGGTGCCTCGGCGTTCCCAGTTCTGACTGCTCCAGTCTCTCTCGAAGGAGGTTTTGTAGAATACCAGTGATCTGGGATCCGGGTCCTTTTCATCATGGACTACGGGTGGGAGGTGGCCGTTTTGCGGGTCTTGGTCGTCGCCCTCATCGTCATCATCCCAGTCCTCGTCGCCATAATCAATGGGCTCTGACAGATTGAGATTGGCATGCTTCTTCAAATCCACTGCCCGAAAGTCCCAGAGCTTGTAGTGCTGGAAGTATCCTGGATCGGGCCCGGAGATTGTGTAGCAATCGCATCCGTGTGGACGCTTCTTGACCGGTAACAGCGGCGGTGCTCTGGCAACTGATAAAGCTGATGCCACCGTACCAAGATAGATCACGGCGATCCCGAAGGACAAAACGTTGATTCTCATGGTGGCAGTAACAGCCCTGGAAGATTTGAAATTCCCAAGATGGTCCTAGGTGTAGTGAAGGTGAACCCGGAAGGTTGTTTGAACCAACAGGAAGTCGCGCTGATCGTGATTTCCTTTTTGGGTCGAGATGTCACGACCAGGAAATCTGTGTGATTCTCGGTAAATAAAGGACGTCTGCATCTAAGCCTTACATTTCAATGTTCATCCGAGTGAATGGCTCTTTGTGCAATTGACTGACAATTAGTTATTCCTAGGTATTGTACATTGTTTGGCAGATGTGCCAAATTGGCTAACATCTTCTGATATCTTTCTTCATACTGAAATCATTCATACTGCTGGCCCAGTTTCCGGGACTGGTTCAAATAGGTCTTTCTTCAATACCTCCAATACCAGGTTCTCATCGACATCTTGGAGATTCACCGAAGAACCGGGGACCACTTCGTTTCCAGCCGTGTCATCATCGTCACTCGTGGTCGAAGACTGGCTTATCTCATATGGCCCAGCGGTGCGAAGATAGTCTTCCTCCAGTATAAATTGGGAGTTATCTTTATCTGCAAACAGTGTCTCCGCTGACTCTGGCAGTGCATAGATCGTAGGGAATTCTAGGACAGTTCGATTGCGCAGAACAGTATTGAGAGTTGAGGTTTGCAACAGAGGAGTTAAGACAGGCTTTTTGGTTGTGGTTCGCGGACGGTGAAGGTAGAAGTAAAGACCGCGGTGAGGGGCGATGGTCTGATTTGGTGCTTTATCCGTTTTCTCGGTTGAGTCATGTGCTGGTTCCTTTGCTGAGTCTTCAGTCGGAGATGTGGGTTGTTTTGTATCTGCCTCTTCAACCACCGTCGTGACAGGGTCACTGGGTGCAGCGAGAGTTGTATTAGGAGTGTCGAGATCTTCTTTCTTCTCATCTTTAACTGGCTCGATAGCTGTCTCTTGATCCCTCGGGCGTGGGCAGCATCGGTTATAGGCTTCAGCGACAGAGCATGTATCGATGACAGAATCACGAATAGTTTTCGCTCCATCAGCCGCAATCCACTCTATAGTCCAAGCCAGACGCTTATGCCTAAGAAACTCCCAAGTCAGTACAATTCTAAATCAAAAGACACGAGGAGTTCCCAACCCACTTGGGATGCAAACGCGACCCATTCTGCTTATTCCTCGACATCCCCTTGGGGGCTCGAAGAACTTTCACGCGAGCAGTCTCGGTACCACGCAAGAACGCAGCCTCGCCCTTGGCAAGGCCCTGGTTCGGGTGCTTCCTCTTACGGCCAGCAGCCGAATGCTGGAAACCTTCGGAATTACCATCGTCGGTTTGGGCACCGCCCGCAAGATCAATCCCGCGGTTATCGACTTCTCTCTCCGCGCGCTCGAGGGTGCGCTCGATTCCGGTGATGAAATTAAAGTCGCGGTCAAATGCAGATTCAGTGTTTAATTCATTGCGCTTTAGATATGCAGCTGGATCGCGAATGCCAGAGCATTGCGACCAGAGTTTATGGCGACGTGTGCAAGGAAGAGAGCAGGTGCGTGTTGAGCAGCGTGGACAGCGGTATTTGGGAGGATTGGCATGGCTGTACGGACACATGTTAGATTCAAGATATACCAGTATGTACCTGTTCTTGGGCATACCATATTGAGCACAGATCACTCAGCAAGGGATCTGAGTCGGCCATCTTGGTTGTTTGATTGTTCGATGCGGAGTTGGAGAGTCGGAGATTCGATGGGAATTTATTTGTCTTATCGATAACGGCCTGAGGCAGAGATCTGGAACTAACTTATACCAGTCGCATTTCACTAACAACTAGTTTCTCCAAGCTTCAGGGCTAGACCTCGGAATAAGCCATCAATAGGATTATTCATCTGACGATGGTCTAATTTTCCCTTGGATGTTATCTTTGCGGGGATACACCAGTCCCGTTCTCTGTAGATGATATCATCTCCGGATGTGATGATCAATCCCCGCTGCATTTCTAAGCTTCGGTGATATCTTCCGGGCCGACTGCCATTATTTAGTTGTTCGGATTCCCTCATTTCACCTCGATTTACAAAAAGAATATACTCATATAATTCTTGAATCAAATATGGCTTCCAAAGCACTCGCGATCATTGCTGGCGTTGGCCCCGGTACAGTACGGTCTACATCTCTAACTCTATACACGGCAGGATTGGCTGACGAAAGAAACAGGGTGCCTCAATCGCTAGGAGATTTGCAAAGTCATACTCTGTTGTGGTTCTTGCTCGAAACCCAGACAACTACGACCCAGTTGTTCAAGAAATTAATTCCAGCGGCGGCCAAGCCATCGGCATTAGCACCGATGTCTCCGACTCGAAGAGCGTCAATGCCGCATTTGACAAGATTAAAGCAGAGTATCCTTCCTCAAAGGTAGCTGCTGCCGTTTTCAATCCAGGTGGCGGCTTTGTTGTCAAGCCATTCCTCGAGCTGAAGGAAGAAGATTACTCCTATGCACTCAAGTCACAGGGGTACGTATTTGCTGTCTCTTGTACCCACCTGATCCACTTCGTTCGAAGCTTAATATAGTCTACATCATTGTTGAGGATTTTGCTAAATTACTGTTCCCCATATCAGACAGGGCGCCTTCAACTTTGCCCAACGGGCTATTCCGCTGCTCCTAGAAGCTCGCGAATCGTCCGAGCATCCGCCCACCCTGATCTTCACGGGAGCTACAGCGAGTCTTAAAGGTTCAGCTAAGTTTGCTGCTTTTGCTTCAGGCAAGTTTGCACTGCGTGCACTGGCGCAGTCACTTGCTCGCGAGTTTGGGCCTCAGGGCGTACATGTATCGCATACTGTTATTGACGGTGTCATTGATATCCCTCGTACCAAAGCCTGGGTATTTGAGCATGAAGATGCAAAATTAAGCCCCGATGCTGTAAGTTTGGCTTCATTGGTGGCTTTATTTCGGACACTCACTGGTTATAGATTGCGGACTCATATTGGTACTTACATACTCAACCACGCACGACATTTGCGTTTGAGTTGGACCTGCGACCTTATATTGAGAAGTGGTAGGAGGCTTCTTGGGGGCTTTCTGGGGTCTTATGAGGCATTGAACTGGGTCAGTAAGCTCAGAAGATCAGTATCTGCAGGATGAAGATAGTAAGAATGCATCATCATCATCATATGCATTTATTGAGATTGTTTTATCAAGCGACTCAAATTCAAATATATAAAGTACCATGAGAGTATCAGCGACATCCAAATAGTAGGCCACTTGTGTCTAGGTTATTATAGAAGTATACTGGCCAGGCGAGCATCACCGAAAGCTAAGATTATATCCATGGATAGGTAAGAAACCTGTTCTCATATGTTTGGCATCTAATAGATTGTTGTTCTCTCATCTGGAGGTAATGTCGGATGGATAAGGTTTTATGCAAATGATGAGTCAGCATGTAACGTCACCGTCTGGGGTCATTCCAGAAAACGGCACAGCCAAGCTCCGCTGAGCTCTCACCTGTCATCTCACTTCTTCAACACTCGTCATACTCACCATGAGCTCCGACGACGCCTCGCCGCAGGCAGGCCAGAAGTATAACAACAGTCCCTCAAACGACTCCTCCCGACCCCTCCCTGGCCATAACCCCGCGATCGCGAAATATAGCAAGGTCCAACTCCGACCAGAGTCAATTGTGAAGCCTGATCTTTTCACATTATACTTTGGATTTTTCGGCACAGCAGCCTGGATGCGAAGGGTCTCGAGCACAGTGAATGAGCGAGTAGAGAATCACTACGTGCTGACAGCACGATCCCCGACCCAAGAAGAATTCGATGCAATTGTTGAGCACGGAACACGATGCCTGTACTACGCGCGGACGGGTATACCCGTAAGCTCGTTCCTTGGAACAGCATTTATCTACAACCAAGCACGCAAGTCGCCAATGTTCCCGCGCAATCCCACGCCAGCGTCATTGTTCAACGCGGTGCGTACCATGTGGGGCGATGCCGCCATGAAAGGCAAAATCGGATCAGGCGCATTCAAAATGCTCTTTGTCATTACTCTTGGTTCCATGGCATCGAGCGCTTACGCTGTTTCCAATGATGCCATGCACATGTTGACGGACCCGCGATTGAAAGGGTTTATCGAGGACGTGCGCAAGGCGAAACCCGACGATGTGCGCAAGCGCAAGATCCAGGCCGCTTCTGAGCGCGCCCGCAGCATGCGCAGCGGAGAGAAAGATGTCGGCTCCCAGATGCAACAGGCTATCGGCACGTCTGGCGGATATGTTGGCGACGACGGGTACCAACAGGAGCAGGCGTCTGATTCTTCACCGCAACCAAGCTCCTACTCTGAATATGTGAACTTGAATGATACCCAAGGAGACTCTCAGTCTGCTTCATATGACTCGTCTACACCGGGTTTGAATGCTGGTGCGATCTGGGCACGTGGAAGGAGCACTCAACCCGAGTCAAGATCGGCTTTGGATTTCATGGATGAGGATGATGCTAGCCCTACAGCTGCGGAGTACCGGAATACAAACATCGATGGATCATCGAGTACTGGCAGTGCTTGGGACCGGATCAGACGACAGAATGCCGGAGCTCGCTCTCAGCCTCGACAGCAGCCTGGCATGTCACAGCCTTCACTGAACCCTTACTCTAACTCTGCTGAGCACGGCCAGAGTGATCAAGAAAGGTACGATTCCGGTCAGAAGACGGAGAGGGATCAAGCACAGGCAGAGTTTGATCGGATGATTGAGGCGGAGAGGCACGCTGGTAGTGAAGGATCATCTCAAAACCGAGGTTGGGGATCTTGAGGAGCTCTCAGGCATTTTTTTTTCTATTTATATTTGCATGTACAACTATGTCATTTTCAGCCTTTGAACATCTACTCCCATATCGAAACATTTTGAATTAAGAAACAACTGATACCGTTATCATTAAGCCTTTGCAGGCATATATGTTTAGCTAGGGTGACCCTGATCAAGAGAGCATAAGTCAATGGAAAAGAGATTTTTAAAGACATCGCTGTCTGCAATCTTGAAAGGGAAAATATCAAAACCAGAGACTAGGAAATTGTGTAATCAATCAACCATAGGATTAGGGTTGGTGACAGGATATGGTATTTGGAATATAACTTGGGGCATATAACTTGGCAAACATCAAACAAGCAGAACGAGAGAGGGTATGAGCCCTTAAACAGGGGTAATATCAAACGGAAGCCAATGGGCAGTGAAAACATGATGCGTGATGCGTTGAAATCCAGGACATTGCAATTTCATGATAAAAACAAAAACAATAGAAAAAAGGGGGCTCATGATGCAAAAGAGGGAGAGAAGAAGAATAAACATAAAAAAGACTCGCAAAAGAAATGTAAGAAAAAGGAAGACTCATTCTCGGCAGCCAGTTAAGTCCTAACGGGGACTCAAACATAGTTCGGACCCGGCGCAACATAGCTCTGACTCGGCAGAACATAGTTCGAGTTCGACCCAGAGACATGCGAGTTCAGACTGTCATAGGGAGCCATCTCTGCCTCATGAGCCTGTGTCCAAGGCTCGACACTGCGACTGTTGTTGCGCATACGAGTCAAGCTGCGTAGCTTGTTTGTGAAGCTTTCGTTTGAGCTACGGTTTCGGCGATGGTCAAAGGACATACGCTGACCACCAGACTGGCGGGCATCCATCCCGTTACCGCCTACATTGAGAGCTGGGGCGGCAGTCATAGCGCGAGGGACAAGACGACCGAGGTCTTCGTTGTTGTCGATGGCGATGTCGATTGTCGCGGAGGACTCGCGGGGCGAGACGGGCGCTGCGGAGAATGGGAATGGGGGTGGTGGGGGTGGGGTGTTGAGATGCTGCAGCTCTGGGAGTATGGGTGGAGGCGGCGGTGGAGGGATTGTCTCATATTGTGCCGAGGTATCTCTTTGCATTGCATGGTCGATTGTCTCTTCGATGCTTACTTGGAGGTGGGGGGAGGTCCCGGAGACGTAGCTGCCTGAGCTAGTACGGTTATGGCCCTTCGCGCGGCTGCGGCTGCTGGACCGGCTCCGGGGGAGGGTTGGATTAAACCGGGGATGCATGGGGAGGTCGTTGGGCATAGCAGGGGCGTTGTACTGTCCTTCTGGTACGGGGACGGACATCGAGCGTCCGATTCTCTCGGCATCTCCTTGATACCGGGCATTGCTGAGGAACATACTGTTGTCTGTGGGAATGATGGGCACAGAGGGAGGTCGGTCTTCGTCTTGTCCGGTTCCTCCGTACTTGGGATGCCGCATGGCTCTAGGAGTCGCTGGAAGCCCATTGGGCATTCCGGAGCGTGAAGAGTTCGAGTCAGAACTGCTGGGATACTCGAGAGATACTTTGTTTTGGGACACCTTGTTCCGCGATGGAGCCCGTTGGAAGTATGAGCTTATACCAGAGAAAGGCGGGGAAGCTTCAAGGGGACTTCTTGCGCTTTGTAGCTCTCCCGGGAAGGGGATGTTTGGTGCCGATGGGTTGCGGGCGAGTGACAATCTTCGTGCTTCCAATTCAGCAGCAGCAATCTCTCTTCTCTTTCTCTCCGCAAGGGTGACAAATGGTGTCCTTGGAGACACAATGTCTTGGAAATCATTGGCTGTCGAGCTTGGTTGCCCATTAGGATATCTATTGGATGTGTCTTCTTGGCCAAAGACCTTACTGCTCAACTGCTCCGGCACCGATGCCTGCTGTGCCCAGGGGTCTAATGTAGGCCCTATTTGGATGACAGGAAGACTCTGTGATGTTTTGTGTCTGGTTTCTGGAGAGCTGTCTCTTTTGGAAGTTGTTCCTTTCTCGGCACGACGTCTACTGGCACTTCGGTGGCGAGATCGCAGTCTCTTTTGGTTGCCCTCGACAAGTCTCAAAGGATTATCGACATCCTGAGAAGATTCTTCTGTGGGATATGCCATAGGAAGAGGCGAAGACGGTGATCGAACGCTGGATCCCTGTCGGTCATTGCTGCGACCTCGAATTGAGGCGTCTCGTTTGTCTGTACCGATGCGGCTTGCAGTGTGTCGACTTGAAGAGCGCTGACGGTTCCGAGAACCTGGTCCTCTCACCTTGCTAGAACTTCTAGTGCGAGACTTCGACTTCCGTGTTTCAAGTGGCTTTTCAGACTCTCCGGTGTGGTATCGAGCTAACTCATCAGGAGACATAGGCACTGGCGAGGAAGGCGAACGCTTGGCAGGTTGAATGTATCGACGCTCACTCATACCGCGGGCGTCTCGGGAGGTATCCCGCGGATGATTGACTCTCGAGCTCTGACTGGCAGTGTCATCTGGGTTTCGTCTTCCACGGCCTGGGGTGTGTGGACGGAACTTCCGCGCATGGTAGTTCGCTTCGTCAAGACTACTAATGTATTGATCGATACTACGGCCACTAACACTTGGGCTCCTAGCCGAAGCAAAGCTATTCGCTGTCGAAGCAGTGCTTTTAGCACTGGGAATCAAATCGGAGCGGTCCTGCGGATTTCTTTCACCTTCCAATGTCTCGATTTGAAGGCCGTCTGGCTTTCGATCTCGGGACCCATTGCGATGATCGTCATTTGTGAAAGCTTCGAATACACCGGCTGCTGGTGACGGAAGGCCCTTAATTGCGGCAAACTTGTCCGTGCCTTGCACGGCAGTCTGGGGACTGGGCTTGAGAGAGTCTAGACTAGGGTTGTATTTCGTGGCTGACAAAGTGAGAAGACCGCTGTTGCTCTCCTTCTCATCTTGGCTCTGCTCGTGTCCGCTCATCTCGTTTTCAGAGGTGGAGCTATACTCATTCTGGCTGTAAGAATTTGACCGTGAGAAGCTTGGAGGGTGCACATCCACTGGTGTCTCTCCTATCGAGGGTAGACGACGTCGATTGAAGGAAGGGGTAGTTGTTCGAGAAGTCATTGCATGGTTCAGGCTTTGGATATTGTTCAGCTTATAGGAGCCAAATCCACCAGGGGACATTGCCGACTCGGGAACAGCTGATTCAGCAATCGGAGTGATTCCAGGTGCGTTTGTTGGCGTGCGATCATCAGACTTTAAACCAGGGAAGCGGAAGCGTCCTGGCTGTGCATCAAAGGAAGTAATAAGCTTCAGGGCAGGCGTTTTCACTGCAGGTTTCGAATTAGATGTAGATCTTGGCCGGATGGGTGGCGGTATCATATTGGCTTGTGAAGGCTCGGGCGAAGCGAGAGGAGACTGGGCGCGAATCATCTCTGCAAAAGATGAAGTTTGCTGAGCAGAAGGGGATGCCCATGGCTCTGATGGTTCTGCTCCCGTGCACATGAAACAGCGAATGGCGAGCTGTTGCTGGGAGTGAGTAACAACATGTTCGCCCCATCGACGAACGAGATAAGACTGGCGTTGCCAGTCCGAAGGAAATAGAAGACATGTCATGAGGATAGCTTCCATGAAGTGATTGCGAGAAACATAAACCTCGATGGCATCGTTACTGTCCCCGAGACCAAGCAAGATCGCGGCCGAGGTGTGTATGTCCCCGATCTCAAGCAGCTTCTGTACAAATGCCTGTCCGACCTTGTTTGCTTGTGCTTGGCCGCTCATCTGGCTCAAAGCAAGAATCATCCAGTCAGATGTTGTTACCTGCCCAGAACCAATCATCGAGGCCATTTCATCTGTGTCGTTCTCACCAAGCCATTGCGTTAAGAGAATAGCGCTTTGACTACCCACAGCGTGGCGGCTCACTAAAAGTTGTCAAAATTTGTCAACCCAAGAGAGAAGATATGGGGTAATACATACACTCATCTGTGATCAGATCTTGAATGTCTCCATCCCAGCCAAAAACCACACTCAACATCTGCAGCCGAAGATCATCCGAAGTTAGATTCGTTTCATCGATAGGCGGCTGCTGTTTGTAAGGCACATCAATCAAGCGAGCCCGAGTGAATGGGAATAGATCCACAATATTCTTGTCAGCAGGGCTGAGATGAACCTCATTCCGCAATCGTGATGCCGCTCTTGAACTTCTCACAGATGACATTGAGACCGAGGAAGGATACGCGAATGAGGCAGAAGCCTGTGGTGTATCACGACCACCTGATGTCATGGAAAATGTTGTAGCGCTCTGACCAGAGCGACTTGGCGGAGAGAAAGGTCTCATATTATACTTCCCAGAGGATGCCTTTGAGCTCACCGATTCCGTCCGACTGCGCGATGAAGCAGGGCTCGTCAGATCTGCCCTCTGTCTGAGACTCTCAATGCTGTTTGCATCAAACGGTGTTCTTCTGGTCGCACCTGGTGGTTCTCGAATATCAGGAGCGTCTTGCAAGCGTCGTGGAGACATTGTTTGTGATCTACTGCCTTCCGCTGTGCCAGGCCGGGGCATGATTGGAAGATGTTGCACATTTTTGACCATTGCCGGGTTTTCCAAATCATACTGCTGGACTGAGTGCTGGGGGCCGATGGTGAATAAAGTCGCAGTAGGACCGTGGTTTGCGATGCCTCGGACACCGTCGATTGTGGGAATTGGATCGTACGTAACATGTTTTGTTCGAACATCCCAAGACCATGTTTCCCTGTAATCAGATGTCAGTAAATTCCCAGTTATTCTCTCAAAGCGTTGCGCACCCTTCCAGATATTGCACCAGTCTTCCATTCTTTGACCAGCCCATCCATTTGGGATCGGAGGAGTTTGAATCAGATCGTTTCAAAACCCTAATCACCCGAGGCGACTCTTTCCCTGGTGGTTTTGCCACGCTCCAAACTCGTAGATCACCATTCGATGATTGCGTTGCCAGCATGTCTGATTTCTGTTTTGAAGAGGATGCATGCCAGGCCAAGGAAATAATTGGCGATGGTTCACGCGAA